CTCAAAGAAAAAGTGTTTTCATTTCCAGAGCCGGTGAATGCCACTTAGAATATTGCAAATGTGTAATTCCTCTTAAGGGCAAAGGAGAAGCCTTGAAAGAGCTGGGGATTTTCCTTTCAACTATCATAAACTCCTTTTTTCTTGGACTGTGAAATTATGTTCTTCCTCTGTAACCCCTATTTCCATAAATACGCTCATTTGATTGTTTTTACCACAACAGAATATATCTTTTCTTCAAATAAGTGAACATGTTATTTCTCCTCTTTTTGCCTTTGAGTTCTCTAGTTTGGGAACGTAACCTGGTCGCTTTCTGAAAAAAATCTTGTAATTGCTGAATGTGCCTTATCTTTATAATAGTTCTTCACTCTTAAATCAGTAAGACAATATTTGTTTGGACAATATTTTGTGTGTCATAGTCAGGCATTAAAAAGCTGGCTTTTATATTGTAAGTAAAATTCTGGTGTGATATTTTAACACTTTCATCACTGCTGAATAATTTTAACTAGCCTGTTTTTCAGAATTTACAGTCTACTTTTCTATTTTAAAGAAAAAGAAAATTTGGTCTTTCTGAGTCAGTTATGACAAGAAATGAAACGGCAAGAAAAACCTTCAGGAGAGGACCCTAAGAGACTGGGACAACATTCAAGTCAACACTGAATTAGAGTTTCTGGTGTTCTGTGCTATCAGCTAATTTCCTGACGTTGTAAATTTTTATAAATTTTAGCTACATTTTCTAAGTGAAGACCTTTATGTACCTGATGCTTCTTAATATGCCTGTTGGTACTATTAGCCTCGGAGCAAATTTAGAAGTTGAGAAATTAAAAAAACTAGTTTAAAAATTGGTGACAAAGCCAGAGTTACAACCTCCAGCCCTAAATTCTGAACCTTTGCCATGGAAACATTACAATGTTTTCAGGTGTCCCAGAAACAGAATTTCAGGCCGAAGGGTTTTAAGAGGTCACCCAGTTCAATTTCTTCATTTCGTAAGAACTAGAATTCAGGCTCAAAGAAAGTCTGAATGATTTTTCTAAGGCAGAACAAAGTTAAGGCTAAAACATTTCTTCACGAACACATTTCTCCATGAACACATTTCTCCGGACAGGTGTTCTGTCCCCTGGTCCACCGTCCCTGAGATAGCCTGAGTTAGCAGTGAAGTGCATCAGATAAAATGAACAGTTGAGGTCAAAATCCATATATATTAGTGTGAAATATTTTCCCCCCAGAGTTGTAATACAATAAGTCTTTTAAAAAAATGTATTAAAATCCAAATAAAGCACTGCCTTAGTTAATAATAATATATCAATATGTGTTCATTAGTTGTGATAAATGTATCATTTCAATGAGCTTAACAGAGAAACTGGGCACAGGATCTAAGGGGACCCTCTGTGCTATCTGTAACTTTTCTGTAAATCTAAAGCTGTTCTAAAATTGAAAGTTTACTTACAAAATAAATTCTTGTGCTTTACTGAAATATTGGTGCAAAATCTTTATTTTTTTCCTTTAGGAATTTTCTGAGGAAGCACTTTAGATGAATATGAACATGACCAGTAATGGGAAATTGAAATACTGAAATGTTTCAGATAGTGAAAGTGTTCATTTTGCCCCTCTCCTCTCAAAGCATGCAGTCACGTGAGGTCTGGGCAGTAGTGTTGGACCTGGTTAAAAATGACTACAGCAAGAGAGAGACTTTAAAATCCACATCAAATAGGTTTTGTGCTGTAATCACAATATTGACAATCTTTCTACTTCCTTTTTTAGTTGAAGTACAATTGATATGCAATATGATATTAGTTTCAGGTATATGACATAGTGATTCAATATTTTTGTAGATTATACTCCATTTAAAGCTATTATAATATATTGGCTGTTTTCCCTGTGCTGTACAATATATTTTTGTAACTTATTTATTTTATACATGGTAGTTTGTACCTCTTAATGTTGATTATTTTTTATCCTTTAAAATTGAGATAAAAGTGACATATAACATTATATCAGTTTCAGATGTACAACATAATGATTTAATATTTGCCTATATTGCGAAATGATCACCACAATAAGTCCAGCAATCATACGTCACCACACCCAGTTACAGACTTGTTTTTTCTTGTGATGAGAACCTTAAAGATTTTTCTCTCTTAGCAACTTCCAAATATACAATACAGTATTACGAACTATAGTCACCATGCTGCACATTTCATCCCCAGGGCTAATTTATTTTATAACCGGACATTTTTACATTTTGACCCCCTTTGTGCATTTTTCCCACTCGCCCAACCCCCACCCCTAGACCGCCACTCACCGGTCTGGCAATCTGTTCTCTGAATCTATGAGTTCAGTTTTTGTCTGTTTGGTTGGTTTGTTTTTTGTTTTGTTTTCTTTTTTTAGATTCCATATGAAAGTGAGATCATGCAGTGTTTGTTTTTCTCTGTCTGACTTATTTCACTTAGCATTATGCTCTCAAGGTCCATCCATGTTGTCACAAATGACAAGGTTTCTGTCTTTTTTATGACTGAATAATATTCCTCTGTGTGTGTGTGTGTGTGTGTGTGTGTGTGTGTGTAGCTCACATTTTCTTTATCCATTCTTCCATTGGTGGACACTTAGGTTGCTTCCATGTTTTAGCTATTGTCAATAATGCTACAATAAACATACATGCATCTAACATCTTGAGTTAGTGTTTTCATTTCCTGTGGATAAATACCCAGAAGTGGGTTTGCTGGATCATACAGTAAGTCTATTTTTAATTTTCTGAGGGACCTCCATTCTGTTTTCCACAGTGGCTGCAGCAATTTGCATTCCCACCAACAGTGCACAGGGTTTGCTTTTTCCCCACATCCTCACCAACATATGTTATTTCTTGTCTTTGTGATAATAGTCATTGTAGCAGGTGGGAGGTGATAGTCCATTGTGGTTTTGATTTGCATTTGCCTGATGGTTAGTGATGCTGAGAAACTTTTCAGGTGCCTGTTGGCCATCTGTATGTCTTCCTTGGGAAAAAAAAACCTATTCATAATCCAATTCTGCCCATTTTTAATTGATTTATTTGCTTGTTTGTTTTTTCTACTAAGTTGTATGAGTTCTTTATATATTTTGGATATTAACCTCTTATCAGATATATGATTTGAAAATATTGTCTCCCACTTGGTAGATTGTCTTTTCATTTTGTTTATTATTTCCTTTGCCATGAAGAAGCTTTGTAGTTTGATGAAGCCTCCCTGTGTATTTTTGCTTTTGTTGTCTTGGCTTTTGGTGTCAAATCCCCAAAATCATCCAGACCTTTGTCAAAGAGGGTGCTGCCTGTGTTTCCTTCTATGAGTTTTATGGTTTCAGGTCTTATATTCCAACTTTTAATCCATTTTGAGTAAATTTTTGTGTATGGTGTAAGTTAGTGATCCAGTGTCATTCTTTTGCATGTGTTGTATTGTATTTTATCTTTAAAGCATGGAGATTGGGGATATTCAAAGATACGATTTCTCCTGTGATAGTTGTTTGCTTGCAGAGGTTACATTGATGAACACTGTGGTAGCTGATTTATAATAAGATCTAAAATTATATTTTTTTCCAATTTTTCTCCCCCTAAAGTTTAGAAAGACTTCTTCCTGTAGTTTGAGACTTTGGGAATGGCTCTGGTGATGTGAGGAAGTGGTTAGAGTGACAGGGACAGTTTTCCACCCCTGAGATGCAAGGGCCTGGGTGACAAATGTTACCAGGAAGTGTGGTCCACTTAGAAGATCAGTTGTTGTGTTCATATTCATCTCCACCTCCTCCCGCTTCCCAAAGTTTTACTCTCCATAACAACTTTAAAACATTCTAAATCTTGGATTCATGTACACGTAGGATTCAAACACATTGCAAAGTAAGCACTCGTGTAGGGCTCTGCTTCTGACTGGTCCCCGGCTGTGCGGAGCAGCCCACCGAGCCCCGCTTGCTTATCTTCCTGAATGAGGTTTTCTCTCCATCACCCCCAGCGCGAGCTACGGCGTTACAAGGGTGTTGTTTTTCATGTGAAATCATCTGTCACCACTGACTCCAAAGTCAGCAGCAAATTCCCCTCTTCTTGTTCTAGCAGAGGAAAATGTGAGCTGAGTGGGCTTGCATTTTCCGTCGCTTGCTCAGATGTCGCAACCATGATGACTCTTCATTCACGCATGTTATGGCTTGAGAGGCTGAAAACACAACCCAGGCATTGTTCACACTGTCAGCCAAGCGTGTGCATGTGTGTGTGTGTGTGTGCGTGTGTGTGTGTGTGTGTGTGGTTTGGAGGAGTCACCATCCGCCTCTCTGCACAGCCCTGGACCCCAGTACTTTGGTTCCTAATTCCACTCATCCTACTTCCAGATCTATGGTACCCTCTGCAATGGACCTTATTTTCAGACTCAAGCTTAAACTTAACTTGAAACTATGGGATGAATGACAAATGATTTGCCTGCCATATGTATTCTGGAAAAGGTAGGGTATATATTTCACAGGGTGATTTATTTAATCATTTAAAAATATTTCTTGAGCAGCTGCCTAGTGCTAGATCCTGTGTTAGACACTCAGGAAATGACTTGGTCATGTAACACTGTAGCCTCACAGACACCGAATTTGTGCTCATACCTTCGATTTGCTCTACCACCCTTCTCTGCCCTGGACTGAGCCCGGGAGGCTGAATCACATAGACTCTGTGGAAGGGCTTTTTCTTCCTCTGATCGTCCCTTGTGTTGGCCAATGAAATGCACTGGCAGGGGGCTGGAGGGCAGGAGGAGAGTGGGGCTGGGTGTTTATTCCCCAGCTCCGCCCCTGGGGGCAATCGCAGCTCCCGTGAGACAGTCCCTCCCCACAGCCTTCCTTCTGGGGGTTCCTTGAGGCTTCATTAAGGCTTAGGTGTAAAAGGGTAGCCATTCCAACCCCCGAGACACTGCACTATCCCCTCACGATTTCCCTACACCTGACCTACTGCCTTTGTAAGAAGTCTTTTTAGTGGACCCTTTTTAAATTGCCCCTCTGTTTCTTGCCAGAAGCCTGGATACAGTCTGATGATGACGATGATGACCATGACGAGTACTGAGCAGTAGTAACGACTAATACCAAGCATAGACGATGTCCCGGGTGACACATGACGTTCAGATGTTTGATTTGATGATTTCCCAAACCCAAACAAGGTAAATGTCATTCCTTAGCTTTGGTCAATAAAGAAACTGAACTTTGAAAAGATTTGGCAATTTCCCCAAGTCCATACAGTGAGCACAAGGCAGACGCGAGCCCTGTGGCTTCCAGGTCCACGCTGTGAACTGTCCCAGTTCTCTCGTGTGCCCCGGTCTGTGTGCTGCAGCTTTTCCGTCAGTGTCCCTAACAGAGCAGGGCCGCCGGACAGCCTCTGTTGCACCTTGTATCTGGCATTACGAACTCTGTTACATTCCATTCAGTTTTGAGAGATGGAAGTAAGAACATGCAGTTGCTTCTGTTAATTATCGTCGTTTCTGTATTTGAAGCCCAGGAACACGATTATGGAAGACACCTTAGATCATTATGATGAATTTAATTACACGGCAAATTAATAGATATAATGACCCCCACCCCTCTGCTAAAATCAGCAAAGTTAGAAGAAGAAATGACCTAACTATAACCCTAACTATAAATCCAGATGTTAAACTGGCACATACTGACTTGTGTTCCCCGGACTCAGATGACTTTGGCAAATGGTGTGGGGATGTTCCTTTGCGTCTGTTGTGCTAGTAGGTAGACTCCAAGGTCAGTCTGCTGCCACAGTGTATGATATTGTCACCTTCCTCAACAGAGAGTCCTCTAGGATGTCAATTTCATACTTAATCTTTTGCAATATTATTCTGTGGTTTCTATCCAGATATTGTAGATGCTCATAGGATAGAAAAAATGAACTCCCCGTGGAAATACAAACACAGTAGGAAAGAAAGTAAAGGTCATTTGTCAAATGTTGGTGGGGCTTTGGCTCTTACTGGAGCCTTTGCAGAGTTTAAAAATCATTCACTACTTAATACACACTTGGAATCATGTAACCACACGTCCCTCTAATTTTTACCCTTATGAATGTGTGTCCAGGTTTTCCCCCGTTCTCTTCTCCTTTCTCCTTCCCCTCTTCTCCTTCCCCTTTAATGCTTTAGCTCTAGGCTGAGGTTTCTTGAGAAACCCTTCCATGACATTTCAGAAGTCTAGGGATTTGAGCTCAGAGATTTGGCTTTCAACACCTTTCGAATAGTTCCCTTCAAGTTTGATGATTCACACATCAGTCATCTTTTTAAGTGTCTAGTGCAGGCATAAAAAGTAGACACGGAAAACAAAAGGATAAAGAAGTCAGACCCTTGACACTAAAAACTGATTTCACCTCTAAAGGGCTACGGGTGATGTTCGTTGAGAATGAATGCTCTCTGGGTAGCTGGGGGAGCTGTCGACACTCTATAATTTCTGTCTTTCTTTTTTTTTTTTTAATTGAAGAATAGTCAGTTACAGTGTGTCAGTTTCTTGTGTACAGTGTAATGTCTCAGCCATACATATATATACATATGTTCATCTTCATATTCTTAGTCTCTTGACTTAGTTAAGTTGCTGATACTTCCTATGAGATGGATGCTAATGGAAATTTCAAACAATGAATTTGGTAGGAGAGGGGGGGAGTGCTTGATAAGGTGGGTCATTCACAGAAAAGGTGGGGAAAGCTCTTTTTCTATGGAGTCCACCTTAATCTTTCTTCCCTAAAAGGTAATGCTAATCATCAAAGGAGATGTCTCTCTCTCTGAATCAGAAACCCTTCTGCAGGATCTTACTTCCTCCTGTTCTGTCTCCTCAGTTCCATTCATCATGTTTCTCCATGTGTCTGATTGATAACTTAGCTTCCCCTCTTCACAGCTCAATTAAGCATGAATAAGTGAAAAATACTGTAGGGTCTGGCTATCCTTGATTTCTTTTTACTCTTTTTTTTCCCCTTCTTTTCACTGTTTGCTGCTCTTGGCAGCTACAGCCCTCAAGTGTGTGAAACCATCTCACAGCAGGAAGTAATTTCTAAATGAAATCAGCACTAGACCTTTGACCTTGCCATTAGTTATTTGCTGTATTAGCTGGTGCCCATCCCTCTGCCTGTCTTGTCTTCATGTACAGTGTAGATTTGATCTCTCAGGTTCGTATTAGAAGTTAATCCTTTGGGTTTTTTTCCCCTGGGCATTTTCAAAGGCAGGAAGGAATTTCTCACCCCTGGAGCTCTACACTGCTGCAGGTAAAGAATTTAACAGCTTTGGGGGTGATAATTAGAGCCTCTAATAATTTGACTGACCTACGCTAGGTACTCAATCGTACAGTGGGTCTTTCTTTCATAATGTAAGATGGCTATTTAGCTCTCTACCTATGTGGTTTAAGAGATCTACATGGCCTCAAAGTCACTGACAATATGATTCAGCCCAAGGCACATAAATGAATGTTGCCTGTAGAGAATTCTGTGGGCAAGCTTCAAAATTTATTTGGAAATAATTTAAAAAATTTTTTTCCCGGTGGGGGGTATAGCTCAGTGGTAGAGTGCATGCTTAGCATGCGTGAGGTCTTGGGTTCAACCCCCAGTATCTCCATTAAAAAAATATTTTTCCTGTTCAATATTGGGATGAAGGGGCAGTTCTGAAATTGGTCATCTGTTTTGGCCCCAGTGTTACAGGAGGAGTTGGGGACCTTTGGGCTCAGAGGGGTGGGGCAGCAACATTTACCAAGAAGGTGGCAGGAGGAACATGGATCTGGGATCCAACAGCCCAAGCCAGATGCTTTGGGATCTTCCTTAGGATCTGAGAGTTGGAGAGAGAGATGGCATTAATATACTTGCAGTCTGGGGCCTTGGTGAAAACAGGAGGAGAGGTGGGTGGTTCTTGTAGGGAAGCTAAGTATAAAGGGAAGGGTTTTTGGAGGAGAGAATGGAAGAAAAGGAAATAACAAAACTGCTGTTACCACCACCACGGTTTACTGAAGGTAAAGACATATCGTCACAATTTTATGTAACAAGCGTTGTGCCAGAAGCCTGTTCCTAAGTTTCACAACAGCCACATGAAGTTGGGCACATCTGTTCCCTTTTCTCAGTAGGAGGAAAAGGTTGTCCAGAAGTCATTCAACGTGGAGGTGGTGAACCCAAGATCTGAACCCCAGGCTAACTGAGTCCCAAGTCAGGAATAACAAAGTTTCCAAAACCAGCTTCTTTCTAAAATGTCATTATATCTTATTTAGAAAAGGGAGAAGTTGGCAATGGAGAAAAGAGGAAGGATGAATATACCAGAAAAGAAACAGAACACAGGCCTTGGAGGAGACAAGGCTAATAATGATGGTAGTCAACACTATAAAGATAAATTCTGTAAAATATAGATAATGTACTGCCCTGAATTGCATCCTATAGGTATCACTTCTTCTGCCACCTCACCCCAGAAACTTGCGTGGTGCTCAGATCCTGTCTTTCCTGATTGCTCAGTTTCTAGCTTTTCACGGTGGTATTCTGGATGCATCCAGCTGTAACTCCTAGTCGTGAAAATGAATACTGGTCTCTCTTTTTTAAAAAGTAACAAATGTTTTTCATCATAGGCATTATAAGCTTAAAGATAATTACAGCTTTAGTCCTCAATTAAAAAATAAACCATGATACAGTATGTTTCACAGCCTCCCACTTTTATTATAGTCTTAATGTTTTCAGCCTCTGACTTTGCTGGAGCAACTTTCCTGTAACATCTGTGTAAACTGTTGTGTGGGAAGATTGGTGCCTTTCGTGAGGTTCCTGAGGGTGCCCGGGGTGGGGAGCTGGAGAATGGGGTACATGATGCCTGCTCTGAGGGAATGAGTGGCCCCCATTCCCTGCTCCGTGTGAATGCTCAACCCCTGTCTGTGGCTTTGCCTCTGGGACGGCCTCTCTCCATCCATACAGTGTTACCTGCAGCCTCGTCCCTCTCGTTCTCCAAAGCACAGAACAGCAAAGCTGCTGAAAACTGGGGAACACAGATGGGTGGACAGGGATCACAGCAGAGCATTTGTGGGTTGATGTTTCTTTAGGCCTTGCTCCCTCCGTTTTGGTCAGTTACCCTTCCTCCACCAAGATCATTTCCCCAACCCCTTCATCTGCTCTGAGGTCCCAGGTCCTCATCCAGTCTCTGAGAGGTGCCGCCTGAAAACTTCAAGTCCCTATTACCATACACAGGGAGATGTTTAAGTCTGGTCCTCTTGCTCAGTTCTGGGCCAGATATATATCTTAAAAGGCCCGTTAACGAGCTCCTCTAAAGACCAACACATAGAATTGATAGGTTTGGAAATTTTGGGGGCAGTATTCCTCTAATGTAGGTCAAATCTAATTCATACTCAGGGCTACCCGTATCTGCTGCCCACCCGCTCCTTCCTGTTTCTGCCAAGAATTCCTTCAGGGAGCAATCTTGGTTTATTTTTTCTTTTACATTAAAATGACACTGATGATATTATCATCATGATGCTATTAGTAACCTGAAAATTAGAAAATCTTGTCGGATACTGACTTCAAATGCTGAAATTAAAAATAGAATTGATCTTACATCCTGATTTCTTTCCCAACCTGAGTCAGAAAACTTCTGCTAAAGTGTATGGTGGTCCTGATACTCGCCAGCAGGGCTTTTCAAATCTTTTTGTGTATTACATCTCTGTTTTTTATTTATAAACAGAAAAACTTGAAATACGTGAGACTGTAAAGTACGAGCATGGAACTAGAGATGAAATGCAGTATCTCATAGGACACTTGGAATGGAGGAGGAGAGAAAGTAAATGTTAAAGCATATTCTTTAGACTTGAGCGGAGAAATCCAGGTCAGGGATATTGGAGAGAAAGTGTATTTGACAGGCCATGTCTTTTTTTTTTAACTTTTTTAAATTGAATTATAGTCATTTTACAATGTTGTGTCCAATTCCAGTGTAGAGCACAATTTTTCAGTTATACATGGACACACATATATTCATTGACAGGCCATGTCTTTGGAGTGAGAAAGATTTGGGTTCCAATATCAGTTCTGCCTCTAATTAGCTGGGCAAGTAAGCTTGGACAATCCTCTCTGTGCCTCCCTTTCTTCATTATAAAATAGGAGTTATAATTATAATACAAACATCTGAGAGTTACAGTGAGGGCTGAATATACCGGGAGTGTGGCTGGTATGTGACAACTGTTCCGT